AGATATATGATAACCGTGCCAGATCTTCAGTAGAGTAGAGAGACGTGACACACATGGTGGATAATTAGCTGCAAATATATCCGAGTATCTGGGAGTGAGGTTAATCCCCAGATAGGATATCCTGTCCTTGACCCAGCGAAATGGGAAAGAACTACGGAGAGATGCACTTAGGGAGTCAGGAACATTAACAGGCATGACCGCAGATTTGGTAAAATTAACGGTGAGACCTGACACTTTGGCAAAATCGTTCAATACAGCACACAAGTTAGGTAAAGAAGTCAGCGGGTTAGTAATAAAAAGCATAACATCACATCAGCATACATGCTCAGCTTAAAATGTGAAACCAATAATGAATAGCCAGAAATATCTGAATGTGATTTAATCGCCAATGCCAAAGGTTCCAACACCAGCGCAAATAAAAGGGGTGAAAGAGGACAGCCCTGGCGGGTACCTCTACCCAATGTAAAGAAGTCAGAATTACAGCCAGGAAGCCTAATTTCTCGTTTTAGGAGAGTCATACAGGGCATGTATGCCTGCCAAAACCCCTCACTAAAGCCCATTTTCTGTAGCAAGGAGAACAAGTATGGCCAAAGAACACTATCAAAGGCCTTGTTTATATCCAAACTCATCAACAGAACCTCTTTGGAATGTAGATTGGCATCTTGAATAACATTTAGAGTGAGACGAATGTTATCAGTAATAAATCTGTCGGGAATAAAACCCGACTGGTCTGGAGAAACCAAAGAGGAGATGATAGGGGCCAACCGGTCCGCCAAAATACGGCTAAATATCTTTAGATCATTATTCATGACTGAGATTGGTCTATAGTTTTGTGGTAAACAGTGGTCCTTCTGTGGCTTGGGTATTAGAGACATGTTAGCCAATAACATCTCCTCAGGGAATTTACCCCCCTGCAAAACATCATTAAATAAAGTTATCAAGTATGGAGCCAATGTAGAGGCAAAATGTTTATAATAGCTAGCGGTAAATCCGTCAGGACCCGGCGCAGTAGAGCGCTTGAGCGCGCCTATCGCACATGTTATTTCCTCTAAAGTACAGGGGGCATTAAGAGTGCCAATCTGAGAGGGTGTAAGGGTAGGGAGGGGTATAGAGTCCAGCCAAGAGTCCGACAGAGGGACAGAATCCGACTGCGGAGGAGTTAGTAGTTTAGAATAAAAATGTTCGAAAATACCCAAGACTTCCTGAGGTAGGGATGAGATAGCACCCGAATTTGTGCGTAATTTATACACGTGTGGGGGGCGCAGAGAGTGGTTCAACTTCCTTGCGAACATGGTAGATGCCGAGTTACTATGTAATAGGAATGAGGCCTTCGACCAGCGAAGGGCCTTTTCAGTTTTTTGGGAAAGCAGGGCATTCAGTTCCAAGCGCTTTTGGGACAGTAGCTGTTTATTAAGTAGAGATGGATTAGCGACATGGCTTCTATAGTGTGCTTCTAATTCTCGGGTTAGAAGTAGTATTTGCTGCCAACGTTTTCCATTTCTGGATGAGGCCATGGAGATAAGTCGGCCTCGTAGGACCGCCTTGTGGGCTACCCAGAGTGTGGCTGGGGAAATATCAGGGGTTAAATTAGATTGAAAATATTCCTGAATAGATGTAACCACTTCCTGGCGAGAGTCAATATCGGTTAGCATAGAATCATTAAGTCTCCAAGAGAAGGGAGTAGGTGCCAATCCCACAAATGTGATAGATAAGGCCACAATACTGTGATCCGACCAGGGGCTCAAATGAATGCAAGCTACCCTAGAATTAGCTAGTAAAATCGGGGTACAATACATATAGTCTAATCTAGCATAAGAGTCATGTGGGTGGGAATAAAATGTGTAATCCCTGGCTCCGGTGTTGTGCGCTCTCCAGGCATCCACCAACTGGAGGGTATCTAATTTCTTAGTAAGGGATTTTGGGAAAGCCTGGGAAGAATGCGAGGGGGAACTACGGTCCAAAAGAGGATTTGCCACCAGATTAAAATCCCCACCCACCAAGAGATGAGGAGACAAAAACCTATCCAGAGTACCAAAAAAATTTTGAAAAAAAGGTAGCTTGTGCTGAATTCGGTGCATATACATTAGCAATAGTAAGTTCTCGGCCTGAAAGGGTGCCTTTAAGAATGATAAACCTACTGTCCGGATCACGATACACATGTTGAACCTCAAAGGGGAATGAGTTATGTAGAAAGATGGCTACGCCCCTACTCTTGGAGGAATGCAGGGTATAATACCCCTGCCTATAAGATCTATGAAAATATGTCGGGTGTTTTGCAGCTGCAAAATGTGTTTCCTGTAATAAGATAATCTTGGCTCCCAGTCGTTTATATTGAAGAAAGGCCGTTTTGCGCTTGTTTGGCGAATTGAAACCCTGGACATTATGCGAAATACATTGAATTACCATAGTAAATAGAGCTTATTACTATCATCATAAAAGTACACATTACAAGGATATCCCCTAAAATTAATTGGCTAGACATAGAAATCCGCAGGTCTATAGCAGACAGACGTACAGGTGGCAGAACCAGCCCAGGGGACCCCCCGGCCCCAACATGGGGCCATGATGTCCACCGACCGACACAACACCATCCCCATGCACTAAAGTGTTGAAAAAAAAGAAGACAAAAAACAATAGAGAGGAGAGTTGAAGAGCTCCTACAAATAAGAGGGTAACTGAAGAACATGGATCAGGCTGAAAATTTGTCATACCTGATAAAACAAAAAGTTCAAATATTAAGGGGCCAAATGGGCCCAAACCCTGTCTCCCTAAAAACATGGAAAACGGAACTGCCACCCCTCAATCGGGGCGGCGACACTTCCGGCCATGTCAGGAGGCAGGGTGGGGTAACGTGTCAAAGAGTTGTGAAACCATAAACCAATGGCGCAATTAAGAGGGACCAAAGACCCTTGTTATATCTTGACTCATCCAGCTATCAATGCAAGGCACACACATTACTCAGGATTATAAAATTAACATAGCAGTAACCATAGAGATACACATCCTGACAGCGTAAGATGTAAGAAACAAAATCCCTGTGTCTCAATTCTCGGTAAAGTCATAAAAGACAATAGGCAAGACCAAGGACTGTCAAACAATAGGTAATAGGCAAGTGAGAATGGACCTGTCAACCTGGATCCTGTCTGACTCTCCTTCTATCTCTCCGTGGAGATGGGGTATGCCAAATGGGAAAGACTTGAGGGGTGGAGGGTGGACGTTGAGGGTGATGGGGCATCCGCTAGGCCCAGTTTGGCCAAGATTGCTCTACCTTCAGAAGGGGATGTAGCTATATATGTGCTCCCATTATGTGGAACAATCATGTCAGGAATGGACTAGCCAGCAATGGTGGGACTCACCTGCCTTTTGATCTGCAGTACCAGGGCTGGCCAGCGGGTGCTCCCAGCAATCAGAGACTCAACTTTGCAGCCAGCTAACACCTGGAACTGATTATGCTGGGGTATTTAAGGGATGGCCAGACTTGCAGACTCTGCCTTGGTGTTGTGTTTCTCTTGGGCCCTGTATCCTGTTCCTGCTCTCTGTTCCTGTCTGATTCTCTGCTGACCCTGCTCTGATCCCTGGCTTGTCTGACCATCCCTCTGCCTGACCCTCTGTACTACGCTGCCTGCTACCTGTTCTGATCCCTGGCTTGTGACCCTGACCATCCCTCTGCCTGACCCTCTGTACTACGCTGCTAGCTACCTGCCGAACCTGGCCTGTGACCCCGACCAATCTCCGCTTGCTCCCCCTGTACCTACCTGCCCAATTGATATTGACCCGGCCTGCCTGACGACGCTTGCTTGTATGTACTGTTATCTGTGGGTGGTTGGTTTGGTTTGTTTGCACTGTATTATGTTTAGTATTGCACTGCGTTTATGTTTGTATTGTTAGTGTTAATAAATTATATTGTTTATCACATATCTGAAGTCTGCGTTTCCCTGCGTCAGTCACACACCTCTGGTCACACCTGGGAGCCCTGACATTACACCAAGGCCAATCCTGACCAGAAGTGGCTGCACAGGGAAGCCATCTTGGCTTGTTGCTGGGAAGGATGGATCTGGATGAGGTTGTGTATTTATATCTGCTAGTGTTTGATGACAGGGAGTATGCTTATCCAACTCTGAAGGAGTATCCCCGGGATGAACTGCTAGAATGTATACGGATCGCTCATGTTCTAGTAGATCAGGGCACAAATGCAGGGATGAATTTCTGCCACCATTAAGTGCAGACCAGGTAGAGTCCCTGGTGTGGTTATTAGAGGATGATGTGGGTTACTTTCTGGAGCGTTATTCCACATGTTCACCACAGACACTAAGAGATTGTATAAACGCAGTGCAGTCATTGACCAGACAGGCTTTGTGTAAGCTCAGCTTTGTTCAACCCCTATTGCAGACATGGACAGACTTGTTGCACCCAGCCTCAGTCAGCTTACAAAGACCCCGTCCTGCTTCTAACTCTACTCCTGTATTCCCACCAGCTCCTCCAGTTACAGCCCAGTATACTTGGCTATCTACCGCATGTCAGTACCCTGTTCCCACTCGCTGCACCTATCCTGCCTTTAACCCTGTAAAAAAAGCCCTCTGTAGCAACTGCTCCCTCTCCTGTTCCATCCTCCAGTTTTTCTCTGTCTCCAGCTGCTCCATTCGTTTGCAGACCTGCGTTTACTTGCAGTGCTCCAGTAGTTAAAACCAGAAAAAAGCGAAAATTCTTTCCAACCAATACCATCCTGCCAGTATCCAAACCGGTGAACCTGCCTTCCGTGACTCAGCCTGAAGCCTCTACTCAGCCTGAAGCCTCTCTTCAGCCGGATGCCTCTCTTCAGCCGGATGCCTCTCTCTTCAGCCGGATGCCTCTCTTCAGCCTCATGCCTCTACTCAGCCTGATGCCTCTACTCAGCCTGAAGCCTCTACTCAGCCTGAAGCCTCTACTCGGCCTGATGCCTGCATTCAGCCTGATGCCGCTACTCAGCATGATGAACTGATCCAGCCCGACGATCCTATTAGGCCAGTTGACTCGATGCCCGCTGTTGATCCAGATGATCCGGTACCTGATCCAGTGCACGCTGTCGTGCCAATTGACTCAGAGCCTGCTGTCATACCTGGTGACCCGGTGCCCACTGCCTTGCCAGATGACGCGGTGCCCGCTGGCAAGCCAAATGACCTGATGCCTGGTGACCCAGTGCCCGCTGTCATACCTGGTGACCCGATGCCCGCTGTCGAGCCAGACAATCCGATACCTGATGACCCGGTGCCCACTGTCGTGCCTGTTGACTCGGAGCCCACTGTCTTGCCAGACGACTCGGTGCCCGCTGTTCCGCCAGTCGACTCGGTGCCCGCAGTCTTGCCAGACGACTCGGTGCCCGCAGTCTTGCCAGACGACTCGGTGCCCGTAGTCTTGCCAGACGACTCGGTGCCCGCAGTCTTGCCAGACGACTCGGTGCCCGCAGTCTTGCCAGACGACTCGATGCCCGCTGTTCCGCCAGACGACTTGGTGCCCGCAGTCTTGCCAGACGACTTGGTGCCCGCAGTCCCGCCAGTTGACTCGATGCCCGCTGTTCCGCCAGTTGACTCGATGCCCGCTGTTCCGCCAGTTGACTCGGTGCCCGCTGTTCATGCGCAGTTTCCGCCAGTTTGACCGGTGCCCGCAGTCTTGCCAGACGACTCGGTGCCCGCAGTCTTGCCAGACGACTCGGTGCCCAGCAGTCTTGCCAGACGACTCGGTGCCCGCAGTCTTGCCAGACGACTCGGTGCCCGCAGTCCCGCCAGTTGACTCGATGCCCGCAGTCTTGCCAGACGACTCGGTGCCCGCAGTCTTGCCAGACGACTCGGTGCCCGCAGTCTTGCCAGACGACTCGGTGCCCGCAGTCTTGCCAGACGACTCGGTGCCCGCAGTCTTGCCAGACGACTCGGTGCCCACTGTCGTGCCTGGTGACTCGGTGCCCGCCGCTTCGTCTGGGGGCCCGAGACCTGTTGCTCTCGCCCGGGGGCCCGAGACCTGTCGCTCCACCTGGGGGTCCGGCGCCCACCGCGCTCCGCCTGAGGGCCCGAGACCTGTTGCTCCACCTGGGGGTCCGGCGCCCGCCGCTCCGCCTGAGGGCCCGAGACCTGTCGCTCCATCTGGGGGTCCGGCGCCCGCCGCTCCGCCTGAGGGCCCGAGACCTGTCGCTCTGCCTGGGGGCCCGAGACCTGTCGCTCCACCTGGGGGTCCGGCGCCCGCCGCTCCGCCTGAGGGCCCGAGACCTGTCTCTCCACCTGGGGGTCCGGCGCCCGCCGCTCCGCCTGAGGGCCCGAGACCTGTCGCTCCATCTGGGGGTCCGGCGCCCGCCGCTCCGCCTGAGGGCCCGAGACCTGTCGCTCCGCCTGGGGGCCCGAGACCTGTCGCTCCACCTGGGGGTCCGGCGCCCGCCGCTCCGCCTGAGGGCCCGAGACCTGTCGCTCCGCCTGGGGGCCCGAGACCTGTCGCTCCACCTGGGGTCCAGCGCCCGCCGCTCCGCCTGAGGAACCGAGACCTGTCGCTCCGCCTGGGGGCCCGATGCCTGTCGCCCCGCCTGGGGGCCCGATGCCTGTCGCCCCGCCTGGGGGCCCGGCGCCCACCGCTCTGCCTGGGGGCTCGGCGCCCGCCCCGCCTGGGGACCCGATGCCGGTCGCCCCGCCCGGGGGCCCGATGCCTGTCGCCCCGCCCGGGGGCCCGGTGCCTGTCGCCCAGTGCCTGCCGCTCCGCCCGGGGGCCCGGTGCCTGCCGCGCCCCGCCCGGGGGCCCGGTGCCTGCCGCCCCGCCCGGGGGCCCGGTGCCTGCCGCCCCGCCCGGGGGCCCGGTGCCTGCCGCCCCGCCCGGTGGCCCGCTGCCTGCTGCTTCGCCTGGTAATCCGATGTGCCTCTGCCCGGAGTCCAGCCCGATGTGCCTCTGCCCGGAGTCCAGCCCGATGTGCCTCTGCCCGGAGTCCAGCCCGATGTGCCTCTGCCCGGAGTCCTGCCCGATGTGCCTCTGCCCGGAGTCCTGCCCGATGTGCCTCTGCCGGAGTCCTGCCCGATGTGCCTCTGCCCGGAGTCCTGCCCGATGTGCCTCTGCCCGGTGTGCCCTTGCCCAATGTGCCTCTGCCCGGTGTGCCCCTGCCCGGTGTGCCGCTGCCTGGAGTCCTGCCCGGTGTGCCGCTGCCCGGAGTCCTGCCCGGTGTGCCAGTCTTTGATATCCCGCCAGTTACCAGACCCGGGCGGTGGAACATTTTACCCAGCTAGGACTGTTTGGAGCGTCCTGAGGCCGCTCCTTGAGGGGGGGGTACTGTCAGGAATGGACTAGCCAGCAATGGTGGGACTCACCTGCCTTTTGATCTGCAGTACCAGGGCTGGCCAGCGGGTGCTCCCAGCAATCAGAGACTCAACTTTGCAGCCAGCTAACACACTGGAACTGATTATTCTGGGGTATTTAAGGGATGGCCAGACTTGCAGACTCTGCCTTGGTGTTGTGTTTCTCTTGGGCCCTGTATCCTGTTCCTGCTCTCTGTTCCTGTCTGATTCTCTGCTGACCCTGCTCTGATCCCTGGCTTGTCTGACCATCCCTCTGCCTGACCCTCTGTACTACGCTGCCTGCTACCTGTTCTGATCCCTGGCTTGTGACCCTGACCATCCCTCTGCCTGACCCTCTGTACTACGCTGCTAGCTACCTGCTGAACCTGGCCTGTGACCCCGACCAATCTCCGCTTGCTCCCCCTGTACCTACCTGCCCAATTGATATTGACCCGGCCTGCCTGACGACGCTTGCTTGTATGTACTGTTATCTGTGGGTGGTTGGTTTGGTTTGTTTGCACTGTATTATGTTTAGTATTGCACTGCGTTTATGTTTGTATTGTTAGTGTGTAATAAATTATATTGTTTATCACATATCTGAAGTCTGCGTTTCCCTGCGTCAGTCACACACCCTCTGGTCACACCTGGGAGCCCTGACAAATCAACTTAAAGGGAAAGCCCCATTTGTAGCGGATACTAGCTGAGAACAGGACCGTTGTGACTTCTTTCATTTTTCTACGCTTCTCCAACGTGGCCGGGGAAACATCCGGAAAGATTTGTAAGACCGAGCCTTCAAAGGAGATCGTAGGGTATTGCGAGCAGCTCTGAGTATTTCCTCTTTGGTCAAAAAGTCCCTCATGCACAGGACAATATCCCTAGGTGGCTTGTCAGTAGGAGGTTTAGGGCGCAGGGCTCTATGGATGCGGTCACAGGCAAAAGACCCAGGGTCACGATCCGGGAGGAGTGATTGAAATAATTTGGTCACGATTAAGGAGAGGTCAGACATAGACTCCGGGATTCCCCTGATTCGCAGATTATTCCTGCGATTGCGATTATCAAGGTCCTCTACCTGCGCCTGTAGTTGAAAAAAGGCCGTTTGTAAATGATCATGCTCTCTGGAAAGTTCACCATAGGCAAGGCTAAGTTCATCATGTTTGGTTTCTAAGCGGTCTGTCCTGGAGCCCAATGTGGCTATTTCCTGAGAGAGAACATTAGTGCTTTTATGCAATTCTGATTGAAATTTGGCGGCTAGTTTGGTGTACATAGATTCCAAGCAGGACTCCAAGTCTCCTTTTGTAAGTTGCTGTGTATTTTCACTGACCAAGGCCGATAAGGGAGCGGTGGTATCCTGTGTGGGGATCGGACAGGGATGCTCGCTCTGTATTGACTGGAGACATGTTACAAAGCTCGTGTGCCTTAAGTAGGTATGTCGTGAGGGACTTCTGGGCTTGTCCCTTTTTTTTCTTTGTGGACGGCATACAGGGAGTCTCCTGGGGGTGATCAACTGAAAATAGGATAATGAATGGAGATTATAACCCCAGGGGACCTATAACGCCCATAATAGGTTTAGGATTGTAGTTACATGAATGCGGTTAGATCCATCTGCGAGAACATTATATTGTAAAGATATTTAGCAAGCCATGGAAGGGTAGAGAGGACATAGATCACAGTAACACGCAGATATAGCACACCGGAGCAGGATGATGGCACCAGATCCCAATCTAGGACACAAGAGGACAAGTGGGGAAGCAGAGGACCTCCAACACCAAGCACAGGGCCCTCCAGGGAGACACTCCACGGGGTAATATTAAGGCCCCAGTAGGCCTCTGAGCCCAACAGGGGCCGTGGTTACGGGAGATGGCAGGCTCCGGGGTCAGCAACGTGAGGTCCACTCCCCAAGTCACTGTGGGGGGAGCTAATGATAAGAGGGCACCCGCATCCCCCACTCACTGTGACCAGATGGAGGCTCCAGACCGATGAAGTAGGCCGCAGATGCCGCCGCCACCGCGGGAAGCAGCAAGGCTCAGTGGCGTCTCACTCCCCCAGTCCCAGCAATGCAGAGGGCGCCGCGGATGTCCCCAGGCGATCTCCCACAGCCCGGATGGCAGCAGGTGCGGATGGGAGAGCTGATGGGTGGTGCCGGAGCCCCGGCCCACGCGGGCCGCACCAGGCCGCGGACGTCAGTCGCCACGAGGGGCGGAAATATCACCCGGGTTCCGACTCCCCGGGATCGGGGATACTACCCGGGTCCTCCGCCATCACTCCGTGATCCGCTGCCGCACGGATGGCAGCGGATTTAGAAGCCTGGCACCGGAGCTCCGGATTATGCGGGCCGCTCCGGTCGCCATCTTGGACACGCCCCCCACCTGTAGAAATTTTTAAAGTGTCATTCATGGACATTTTTAAATACCATAGTTTGACGCCATTCCACGAGTGTGGGCAACTTTAAAGCATGACATGTTGGGTATCTACTCGCCATAACATCATCTTTCATATTTTACAAAAAATTTAGATATATTGTGGGTTGGTTTTAACCATTAAAGTGTATTTTATTCCAAAAATATATACTAATTTTTAAAACCGTCCATTTCGGTTTCGGTTTTCAGTCAAGTGCATCCTGGATTTTCGGTTTCGACACCAGAATTTTCATTTCAGAAATTTTGCTAGTTAAAACCCATCAGTTTTTTGTGTTTGTTGAGCCTATTAGTCACTATTACAAGATTTCCTCTCACCTCCTATAAAAAGCATGGATTTCTAATAATTTTATGTTTTAAAGATTCTGGTTACAAGACAAATAAAGTGAGTAAATATTTTCAGTGGAGACTCAAATAGCAAAGATAGCAAAATTACCTGTCAGGTGTTTTAACTGTTCCACACTTCAGTGACTTGTGTCATATTGAATAGACTGTGCTATTTCACAATCAAATGCACCCGCAGTATTTTCTTAATATGGTCATACACATACGGTAACTTAACAGCCTCTTGACTCTGCTATCTTTGATTCTGGGAACATAAGTATGCCCTTAATGGTCAAGCAGGCAGTTTAAATAACCTATGGGAGGGTTTTGTCTTCACAGTTGATTGCCATGGAATACCTATTGCAATATTTTTGGGAATCAATTCACTCCATATAGACTTAGTAGACACTTTAACTGGTATATCTGATGGTAAAGCAAATAGGCACATAGAAAATTATGTGGATGCATGCATACATACATACATACATACAGATGAATTATGCATGATCAAGAGGTTCAGCAATAACCCAACCAAACATTATAATGGAGAAGATGTGTGAACTAAGCCACTAAGTAACTACAGTATGTTAGTACTTGGATGGGAGACATTGGGGGTAAAACATTGGGGATTCATGGGATTATTTTTCATTACTATTTATTTTTATCATTTTAGTTTTTGGTTTATGAACATTGCACTTGTTATATACCTATATCTGTTGTGCTGAGTATCTAGGCATAGTGTGGGCAGCTAGTATATGCATAGATTCATCTGAGCACAGATATTTCACTTCTATGTCTATTTAGTAACTATAAAATGATTGTTCATGCCAGGGAGGCTAGCTGTATCATCTCAGTAACTGATGGCTTCCTGATATTTTGACGGCTTCCAGAGTTCACAGAAATTCAGTATTCAGCAGATGAATAGGTAAAACCACCTTCGTATTGAGAGAGAGGCTGAAGAAAAATGGACAGACTTTTTTAGCTGGTAGAGAGATCTGATCTATGTATTTGGTCAAAAATAATTACAATAATGTATGTGGAGGGCATCTCTAAATGTAAATTACATTGAAATTCGAAGAGAATGGACAACAGCAACAGAAGATAACATCAGACATTTTCCGTTAGCTAAGAACAGAAAACTAAAACTATTATTGGCATGCAAAAATGCAAACCTTGACAACAGGAGATTGAAAAATGTTTCCTTGGTCTATCCAATCTCGATTACTGATTACATGTAGATAGAAGATATAAGGCACACACAGATAAAAGAGGTAATTCACAGATTTTAGACTGGTGTACCTAAATTAGTGACTATTAAGTTTATGCTTCGAGTAGGGGTTCTCACAGGTTTAAATAAACACAAGAATATTGTGTGAAAGCCTCAAGATTCCATACTATTTGTTAAAAAGAGTATAGTAGTCCAGGTGTCATCACTCTTTGAGCATCCAGAATAGATTTAGCAATGATTGAGTGGTTATCATGTAAAAGGCTCCCCTTCTGTGGTAAATGTTGGGCCATGAAGAATTATAAAATTTACTAGCAACCACTGATAAAGGCTCTCCCTCGCTATGCTTTCTGTGTAACTCTATCACCTATGGAGAGAGCATGACTGTTGACGTATTGTTACAGAATGCTTTACATAGCAAGTGAGAGGGAGGTCTTTAAATGTTCCAAAGATCGTAAATCCAAACAACTCATATAAATAAAATGGTAACCTATTCTATCTTATGTTAGTACTTTTGAGTACTGTAGGGAAAATGAGATCCCTGCAGCTATAAAGCATACAGTGTACTATCAAACCTCAAAAGGAGAGAAATGGGTAAGTGCTGTACAGCTCACTGCTCATGTGAACACAGATATACAGAGAGGATGACACTACTGGGAATTTGGAAATGATGTGATGCTTTTTTAATGCTTAAAATGATATTAAATACAAAAACAACATTTACTATATTGCAGGTTACCAATTATTTCCTTTATTTCCACTTGGTATTTTCTCCAGTAAATCTGTTGGCTTTCAAAAGAATAAGCTCTATTGCAGATGTAGCAGTTAGAGGGTTAATACAAACCATTTACTACTGACAGGGGTGTTTACAATGATCAGCTTTTATTTGTTTATGTATAAATCTGTATCCCAAAAAAAACTGTTGCTGCAACTGCTTATCAAGTGAAGTTTTACTTCAATTTGTTAATGTATCTACAACATAAGTCTGCTCATACATCTAACACCCCCCCCCTCCCCTCACACTGATAATACTGTTGCTTAAAGGTGCCCTTGAGCTCCTTCATTGAGACTGGAGGCTCTCTAATACAGCAGATGTGCTACTGGCCTGATCACCTGATGAAAACCAGGGAAAAAAATGTAAAAAAAAAGAAAACTAATGCAGCCAGTACATCTAATGACTGGTAAGCTACAATATATTACATTTTTGGTTTTGTGTTTAATACGGCTTTAAAGAGACCCTATCATTTGACCATTAATTTCAACAATAATCTTCCTATATGAATATATGTACATTAAATATATTTGTGTATGATATTTACCTGAAAAGCCTCCCTTGTGTAGACATCCATAAGTCTTGAAAATGTTGCTGGGGGCCACCATCTGGATGTTATATAAGCATCTCCAGCAGACTTAGAGCTGTCATTCAAGTGACACTGTAGTAGTCCCCTTCAGCTGTTACAGAAAAGATTATTTAGGGAGTTGGGCCAGCACAGTCAATATTTGGACATCCTAAGAAATAGACAGGCCTGTGAAGTTCAAGAAGGGAAGAGGCTTTGATAAGGAGCTAGCTAGTCAAGTTTGCTAGCAATTTTAGAAGCATTTTGCAACACCTACAAGTAAGCACTGAAAATACTTGATTATTTTGTGATTTTTTATCTGCATTATTTTAAGTTGGTTACAGGGTCTCTTTATATAAAGAGCAGACGCTTTATATTCAAGTATCAACATCTGAGCACTACCAGGCTGAACTGAAAAGGGGAAATTATACTCTCTAGAGGAGAATTTAAAAGATAGCAGGCATATTATTACATTTTTATATTTGGCAATGGTATAAACCATAAACATAAACAAGAGGAAAAAGCACAGAGGGGAGCCCTCTGATTTGTGAGCAAATCCTACTCAGAGCCAAGGGGATGCCAGTTTATGCAGAGCTCTATGGGTGAGCAAGTGTAAAATGGACTCCTCAGGCCATTTACATCAGACTACCTCTGATCCAGTCCAACAAAATGCAATCCTTTTCCTTTTTTTTACCTTTTGGACCTGGATGTAGGCAGAATTGTAAAGGGCACAATCCACTTACATCTGCCTGTCCATAGAGCTCCATGGATTTTCTAATGAGGTCTGCATGAAAAACTGAAAGACAGACCTGATCGGAATCAGGGCTCTAAGGAAGAGGCATCTCCTCAAAACACGTCAGACATTTGGAGGTTTATAGACCCTTACCAGACACCTTCCAGGGAGACTGGACCTTGCTGTATTTCTTATGATGTGACTTTGACTTTTATTCCATTGTGAGTATATAACATTTTAGGGCTCGTTCACACTTGACTGTTTTACCAATGCTTGCCAAACACTCCTATAGCGTTTGGCAAGCGTTGGTCCAGCGTTTGCGGAGCGGTTTTTAACGCTCTGCAAATGCTGCATGCGCAGTTTAGCGGAGGTTGCTAGGCGTTTGCAGAGTGTTAAAAATGCCCCACAAACACCTAGAATGAAGTTTAAATGGTGTTACCGCTCCGCAAGCGCGTTGCAACTGCGCCGCAAACGCCGGCCGGGCATTTGCGGAGCGGCACCATAGACAAGAATAGGAGGCTTCAACGCCTCCTGACTCGTCCAGTTTTGACCCTACCGCTCCCGTTAGAACAGCATCATGTGCTGCAATGTGCAGAATTGCCAGTAAAAAACGCTTCCCAAACGCCTCTCTGCCGCCTGCACACAACCCTAGTGTGAACGTGGCCTTATACAATAAACCAACTTTTAAAGGTATTGCACTAGGCTTGTGCGCTCACTCTTTGTCTTTTTGCATGCAGACCTGATCGGAATGCCCATGTGAAAGTGGCCTAACACGATTTTTGTATAAAAACAGGTGTCTTTTCTGTTCACATGGGAATACAATATATCACTGCACTCAGTGCTGCAGAAACTTTTCGTGTTTATTGAATAGCAGCAAAAGTCACTTCTGCTCTGTTGCAGCACCAAAAAAATTATAGAATTAGGGGTATTCAGAGGAAACTATCCTCTTGCAGAGGAACAACTGTAAAACACATAAGCAACAGAGTTGCTAAGTAAAATAAAACAGCACATATAGCTGTTAGTATTTTTGTGTTCATAACATATTTAAATATAAATAATTTTCTCCTGTGAATGTAGTAAGGTCTGTGGGGTTGGCTACAATTCCCTTTATAAAGTCTTGTTCTGAAATGGAACATGTAGATTTCTGATGAAATCTCAGTATGCCAGCTATAGCAACCAGGGTTCTGGGATGAATAGCAGTGATCTGTAGGTTCTCATCAACCATTAACAAACTGGACACTTGAGATAAAATTCTGCTAACAGTGGACAGATATTTGAATGAAAAATTTGCCATATCGATTTGAGACAAGAGTGGATATTTGGTGGCTATTGATTGGGAAAAAGATACTGTATTGGTCACAGCAGGTCACATGGTACCGGCAACGGGCTGGTACTCAGATCTGTCATCCGCCGTGTCTGAGGTACACGGCCAGTGACAGATCGCTCCGCTGCGCAGCTCTGTGGGCGCGCAAACTGCACATGCCCAAAAGGATGCTATATGGCGTCCACCCAGAACGACAAGGTGCTCACCCAGCTGCAATCTGGGCATAGGCCAGGTGGGAAAAGGTTAAAACAGCCTTGGATATAAAACAATAATATCGCTAGCAGGGGTGGACTGACAACTCATGGGGCCCCTGGGCAATAGGGGATCATGGGGCCCCCGTGTCCTTGCCCAAACTCAAAAAGCCTATGAAAAAGGTACCAGGGACATCTCATGGGGCCCCCTACTGACCCCGGGCCCTTGGGCAGTGCCCGAGTTTCCAAATGGTCAGTCAGCCCCTGATCGCTAGTCACATGCACACCTTGGGGCTGCTTGGCTCCATTTATTGTCTTTATGTTTAGCTGCTTGGTCTATATAATAGGGTAGCTTGTTTTTTTTTTTATAGGCATATTGCATGTATCACATGCATATGCATATACAGGCATATTGCATGTATCACATGCATATGCATATACATGCATATGCATGTGCATGTATATGCATTGTAGATTTTAGTTATTTTAAATGCGAACTAAGTAATAAAAAAAAAAACATACATGCATACACACCTAGGTGGATGCAGCATCAATCCAATGCTGCATCTGTCCTGTGCCAGAACTGAATGATCAAAGACCACTAGTCACTCAGTTCTCAGTCTTCAGAGAGCAGGGAGCCAGTGACTGTCAGTCACCAATCTCCCCTCCAATACCCACTGAAATGCCAGACTGTGGAGGGGACAGGAGCCAGCTTCTGGTCAGACATTTGAGTGAATCACAACACTAAAGATGGGATCTCTCCAGAGTCTGGACCAGTTGAGTGATGTCAGCCAACAGTGGGCTTTAGCCCACTGTCTGCTTAATACGGGTCACTGGAGCCCAGGAAGAAGTGCACTCCAGTAACCTACAGGATAAGTAGGGCCAAAAGAGCTTTGGTCATACTTCTTTTTTAGTTGTAATTAGGTTTCTAAGGTGTTGGGTACTGAAACAAACATAGATGAAAAGATGTTTTGTAACTTACCCTATTAACCACTTGCCCTCCAGGCCATTTTTTGCGATACGAAGCTGCATTACTTTAGCTAACAATTGAGCGATCATGCAACGCTCTACATAAATGAAATTTATGTCCTTTTTTTTTCCAGATAAATACACAGCAGCATGTGCTTGCTGGCAGGAGAGAGACCTGTGTTGTTTACACACAGGTCTCTCCCCTGTCAGTTTTACTTAGCTATCGACGGGTGCCGGCCGGAGATTTCTGGCCGGGACCCAGTGATTGACACCTGTAGCCGACAAGGCGGTGCAGGTAGGGTAGCGTGCATGCCCCCTACCTAGAAATGCAAAGCATGTATATGTACATGATTTTGCACAGCACTTTCGCCTTGTAGCAGTACTTCTGCTATAGGGCGGCGGCAAGCAGTTAATGGATATAGTGTTTTTGTATAAACAATAATAAAATACATATTTTTATTTTATTTTTTTATTTTTATAAAAGATATATCAGTAAAAAAGATATATGAAGCTCTTCTCTTTTTCTTTTGAAATATATGGTTATAGAGCAAATATCTACCAACATTTGTTGTGAGCCTGTATCTGATATACAGTGAAATACCTTTGTTGCTTATTTGTTTTATATTGACTACTTTGATGTTTGGTTCTCTTTGTTCCCCCCTTTTCTATTATTAGGAGTTTTTTTATAAGATTTTTTTAAAATAAATTGTGACTTGGAGACCTGAAATTCTCTCTTATTAACTGATAACAAGGAAGGATGGCATACCGTTCTGAAAAAATGTGGAAAGGGAAATGAGTAAAAGTGTGGAGATGGATCAATCAATTACATTGAAATGCTCTTAAAAGAACATAAAAGAATAACAATAAACCGTTTAACTTGAATATGGGACATTTGTTCATTGGTGTCCCATGTATAGGGAGGGCTAATCCCTAGAGAACTAAGAGAAAAGGTAATATTAGAAGCTTACTTACAAACACTTAAAATGGTGGAATGGGGAATGTGTTGCTCTCAGTTTAGGAATTATAAATTACATTGTGATAAATTATAAATTACATTGTGATAGAAGAAATGCCCAATTAGAGGAGCTGAAACAGGTGATAAACTTGAGTCTTGAAACATTAGAAAAATTTTAAGAAACTTTTCAAGTCTACATGAATAAATTCATGACATGACATATACATGACAACAGTATATACAGCAACAAATACAGAAATTCTTTGAAAAGATGTACTCTTAGATTGTAAACTCTAAGGAGCAGGGCCCTCCTAACCCTCTTGTATTGAACTGTATCGTTGCTGTATTATCTCCCTTTATATTGTAAAGCACTGAGCAAACTGTTGGTGCTATATAAATCCTGTATAATAATAATAATAATAATAATAATACTCTTTATTAAGAAGATAATCTTAAACTGATAAATGACTTTTCCTAGGCTGAGAAGATTTCATCAGTCAGATGCAGGCAACAGGAACTTTGGAGCAAGTCAAAAGGTGAGAGGCTGATCTGTGATAGGTGTATGTGAACAAAGCCAAGAGCTGCTCAGGCAGCATGCTTTACATGATTGGGTCACAGGAAGTTCAGGAAGTAGACACTGCACTGAACAAAGATGGTGCTATCTTCCTGGTGAGAAGGTGAAGATATTCTAAGAGAAATACTGTCTTTTCTGTGACAGATAAAGTATATCTGTTAAATCTTGCTTAATATGCTTGCATTTAACATGAAAAATATGTGTGACACTTTAAATCTCATTTTTGTTGGTCCTTAACCACTTCCTGCCCGGCCTATAGTAAAATGATGGCTGGGCGTGTAGCTGGCCAGCTAAGACCAGTCCTAGGTTGTTAATATAGTTCACATATATGTGTATACCAAACCTGCCAATAACCTCAGTACAGAGAATATGTGCACATGTTAAAGCCAAAAGCAGAATCATTGCTGTAATTTATGTCTTTGATTGTTATATGACATTTATATATTCATTGTGTTAGCAGAAGCAGAAAAGGAAAATATGCCTTTAAGAGTTAGTTAAAGATGAGCCAATCACAGACAGCCTCACACTGTACAGAGCCTTAACCAATCCCAGCCAGTTTCACATTTATGCCTGTGTAAAACTCCCTGCTAGGATTTTCTAGAGACACATGCTCACCAGACAGAGGAGGAAACAGACAGTTCCAATCAGAGAAGCTCCATGGAGGCAGAGAAGGCCAAATAGGTATTTAATGCACTTGTGTGTTCCTCTATTGTTTAACAGTGCAGGTAGATCTGTGTCTAAAAATGTTGTGTGTGTTTACTTTAGTTCCACCGAACTTAACGAATTTATCGAACTTATCGAACTTACAAACTTATCGAACTTTTCGAATATAACAAATTTTTAAATCCAAGTGAATTTATCAATCTATCGAAATATACAGAACAAATTTATCGAATCTATTGAACCTATCGAGATTAGCTATCGAATCAAACCACTGTAATATGAAAGAAATAAGCTACTGTATGATAAATGAAACAAGCCATTGTAAGCAGTGTTATATGAAGAAGATTGAAGTTATTAAAGAAGTTAACTAAAGTATTCGGTGTGCTCTTTAAACCTACTGCATCCATAGAGCGGCATTGGAGGAATTACAGAGTAAAGTCAGTCTAAGCAAACAAAGAAACAGCAATTGCATAATTTTTCTAATGCCACAGCGCACTAGGCACCAAAGGGTGCTGCGCCTGCCACAGGGCGAGCCTCTCGTCCCTCCGGTAGGGTGTCATATGATGTCCTTCCAGGATCACGCTTTGCGCGTGCCCGCAGGGCCGCGCTGTGGCGTGATCTGTCACCGGCTGTCTACCTTGGACATGGCCAATGACAGATCCATGTATCAGCCTCATTGCCAGTACCATGTGACCTGCTGTGACCAATCACAGCAGACCACATGACAGTTGTATACAATAGATGGCTTCCTTTCATGCCATCCATTGTATACTAGTGTGTCCAGCTGTGAATGGTAACAGTGATCACATGCACAGGCTGGGCCAATCACAGCCCATCTGTGTCATGTGATTAGCCATGGCCAATCACAGCTAATCACAAAAAAAAAAAACCTGAATGAATCGATTTCATTCAGTTAAATGCTTGCTTATAGCAAAGAAATTCTTTGCTATAAGAAATCATATTTGTGTAAAAAAAAAAAAAAACTGATCACTTCCCCAAAGTAGTACAATGTTACTATGGTAACATTATACTACTTTGGTCACAGTGTAATATGAAAAAAAATCTTTAAAAAAAGATAAAAAAATGTAAATAAAATTTTTTAAAAAAGATAAAAAATTTTTTGTACTGTCACCAGTCAGTGTTCCTGATCACCGCCACACCAGTTATATAATGATGCTGTTCTGCATTGGTGACAGTATGTAAAAAAAAAAATTGTGCAAATAATTTTGCTTAATTTCTTTCTTTTCCGAAGAATTATGACAAAACAATTACAACTTCAAAAAACTTGCCATGCCTCTTTTGAAATACGTCAGACTGTCTACTTTGCAAAAAGGGGTCATTTGGGGGATATCTGTACTGTTCGGACATTTTTGGGCCTCAAGAAATTAGATCGGCTGTTGGTTTGGGGTATGGTGGTGATCAGGACATTGGTTTGAGGTACGGTGGTGATCAGGAGATTGGTTTTGGGTATGGTCGTAATGAGGATACTGGTGCTGTTTTTGTGCACATTGGGACAGGTGACAGGGTCTGGCTGCATTATTTATTATGAAAATACTAGTGCACTAATCAGAGACACTGGAGCACTAAACTGGGACACTGGGGTGGCTGTCACAGCAGTCTGTGACTGTATAATCTGCCTGACAGGATTCTGTACACTCACAGACTGCAGGATCGCTTGTGCTGTAATTGGTCACAGCAGTCACATGGTAAAACACCATGTGATCACCTGGACACAGCAGTAATGTGATCCACTGTGTCCAGAAGACCCACCAATCGCTGGGCAGCTCTGTGAGCTGTGCAGGTGCCTCCGATGCGAGCTGACATATAGCTACGTTAGCCCGCATTGGCATAGCTTCCCATCCTCTGTCTATATGCAATGGACGGACGGAAAAAAAAGTAAAAAAAAACATATATTGTTCTTTTCATTTGCTTTCTGTGCACTAATTTCTGTTCATCACTAGATGTGCTCAGTCTTATTGGTTGAATAATATTTAGGGTAACTAAACTCAGTAAACTGAGGACATCCTGTGAGTGAAGAGTATCATAGACCCATAATCTGAGGGGACCTTGTCCCTCATGGGACCAACCTGAAAACATCCGTAAAAGCAAAGGGTAAGGGGCCTCCAGTGAGGCAGGGGGGAAACTCCTGAAGGTGGGCCTTAAAGTATATGTACTCCCAATCACTAAAATCTCATAAAAGTGTTAGATCATTTAGATCAATTTTATCTTTTTAAATCAGCAGCTTTTATTAAATGAATACCAGGTAGTCTAATTACACAGGCTATAAGTGGGGTTTCAGCCCTCATTAGGCAAAGGACAGCATTTAGCTATAAACTTGCAAAACAATAATGTACAGTATTTAGGATTTTGCTTTTAGGAGCACTGTCAAATGCAAAAAAAAAACATTCTATTACATTCAAACTTTGTACTTGCAACATGAACTGAGATTTTCTTAAGCAATATCTTGTTATGACTGTTGCGTGCATTAGACCGCAATCTCTGATCTTTTTTTCATCTCATATGTATACCATCTGCTGCATGCAATTCTTGTTTATTGGATGCCACAAACATTTCCTGACAGGTACTCAGTTTCTGTGCAAGGATCTGAACAATTCCAGCACTTACTTTGCCCTCATCCGAGCACCACTTGTGGTCTTGGTGGATTATTAGCTCATACTGCAGGGAGATGTGATTCAGTGAGTCCATGCCAGTCCAAACTGAAGTTAAATGCTTATCACCCCCCTCTAATAAACAAAATTAAAGTAAACTACAAAAAATAGTTGTCCACACACGGGATTTTCACTAACAAAACAGATTACCAAGCCTCCTGGTTTTTTCTTCAGCAGCTTTGCAGCTCTTGACAGGATCCTTCAGACTTAGCTTTCCCAGTTCTGTGGGCTCACCTGGCTCACTTAGCCTTTAGTTACAGCAGCCAGCTGCATGGGCCCACACCTTGGCCTCCCAATATGACTTTTCCTGGCACCCCTGGCTCTTCCACTCCACCGAGACTCACAGACTTCACCAAAACTCACAGACTGTAAGCAATCACTCCCCTGTCTTCTGAATGGAGCACACAACGGTCTCCTGATGGAAGCCCTTGTGCCATTGCCAGGCCTTGCTTATAACAAGTTTGCACATGTACACACTCATACAACCTGCAGATCTCCAGTTAGACCTGGACACAGGACTTTTCCCACCCAAAGCTCTTCTAAGTCTCTAACCTCCAGATCTTGATTTGGGATTAACAAACCCAGAGAATGCTGAGACCCTGTCTTTTTTCAGTCAAAAACAATACTCTAGAGCCTCTCAAACTGTACATTTGAGAATCCTGTGTGCCTTTTGCCTATACTCACTGAATGGCAGGGCCTAGCACTGTCACAATTAGTGTTGGGCTCGATGTTTGAGTCAAACTTAACTTAAGTTCGACTTGAACATCGGCCATTCGTGTGTTCGCCAAACACACGAACACTAAGGGTGTTCAGAGTACTGTTCTCCCGCCAAGCTCCCCACAATGCACTGAGCTTTCACAGTGCATTGTGAGAGCCATGATTGGCCAAAGCAATACACCTGACCACAGGTCATGGCTAAGTCCATGCACCACACTATAAAAAGCTGCTTACATGAACGTTCACTAGGTTTGAATGTTCGACCACAAACCGAATACGGGGGTGTTCAGCCCATCACTAGTCACAATTATTAATGTACTCTTGGAGAAACACGAAAAACAAAACAAAGTCACCACTAGCTCTGCCCAGTTGTTTACATATGAGAGGCAACTGTCATACCTGTCATATTGCAGTGAGTGCTCAGCAGGTGAGGACGGGTTGGCGGGCGTCTTCATTTTATTTCGGCGAGTTGGCATTGTCAGAACAATGCTGGACTCCATGATTGGCAGGGGATTTCATCAATGGAAACATTTTTTTAACTTTTTTTTATTAAAGGCTTTTTTGCTTTTTTTAATTAAAGGACTTGTCAAAAAAAAATTTTTGTTTTTTTTTTCAATTAGAGGAATTTTTCAAAAGTCTGGTGTTTATATTTTTTCTAAATGTAACCCTTTAGTGAATGGGTACTTAAGGGTACTCATTCACGGGGGGCAGCATCAGGGTGTCCCCTTATTTAAAGGGGTACCCTGATGCTCATGAGCCCCCCGTGCCCACAGACTCCCACAACCACCAGGCCAGGGTTGTGGGGAAGAGGTCCTTGTCCCCATCAGCATGCCAAGGGCACATGGCCTGATAAGCCGCAGGGAGGGGCACTCGATCGCCCTCCCCCCTGTAAAACCCTGTACCTTATTCCTCCCCAGTTCATATATATATATATATATATATATATATATACTGTATACACACACACAATTTTTGTGCTGTCCCTTGTATCCCTGTTGCCAGAGACCAAAAAGCCTTATGATAAAATACAATCGTCTTGATATTTTGTAATTTTACTTGTCAGTTTTATCTTGCCATACCAATTTGGTCACCTTCATTTACTTTTACTTTTCAAATTTCTTTTCTCACCAACATTCTGGACAGAGGTTTGCACTTAATGACCATAATAAACTGTATTTGCTTCTATTTTAGTAGATCTAAAATTGCTATGTTTTGAAGTGCATTAGTGTATATTGGAAATGGAAAAGTAAATGGAACAAAGAAAAGAACTGAAAAGTTGGTTGTCAAGACAAATATTTTTTTCTGTGACAGTGTGCAGCCTACTGTATTAGTCCTGGTAACAATTCAATAATGTGCTGTACATTTTCACAAGGACTCAACAAAACAACAAAATGAATGTTTTAGACAAGTTTGTATTCTGACTGTACCATTACAAAGAAGTTGTTTCCTTTTTAATGAACTATGTGTGTAGGGTAACCCTTCCAGATCAGTTGTTCTAATTCTCATCTTTCTAAGGATGCAATAACCAATCACGGGCCTGATGAATGAAGTGGTGATATCTTGTACCTCATGCTAAAAGATGTTTTCATCAAATGTCATGAAAACTCCTGATTTATGAAGTAGATGAACATTTCAGGCATTATCCATTTCTTCAATAAAGAAAAGTTTTGTGTACAAAATATTTATTTTTTGCTTGTAATTTTAACACCTGACTCAAAAAGTTTATAAATCAGTGAATCTTACTTCTTACTTGCAAAGGAACATTTAATCTAGTAAGCTTTTTATTCCAGTCAGTTAAATCAATGGGGATTGTAAAAAATTTTATTTGTTCTAAATTATTATAATATTCTTTGTAAGTTGCTAACAGTGTTCTATAGCTGTTAATGTTATACCCAAGAAGAAAAACAGAACAAGAGCATAACATGGGTCTCCTCATACTGCATTTTGTTTGGTGAGGGAAACTCTAGCTGGAATACTATATTCATTTTAATAAAATTTACATTATTAGATATTATTCCTGATATAGTATAACTGCCAGTGATGTCAAATAGACATCTCTCCAGAGTTGACTGTACCCCCAAGTGGAACTATATTCCCTGTCACTCCAGCAAAAGCGCCGTCTGGGAGCTCCCTCACCAGTACCAACACCTTGCTGCTGGGTTCTTTCAGATTTAGAATCTTCAGCCATGTTCATTGGCCTGGCAGTACTAGGTTAATTCCCACACATGTACGTGAGAATTCATTCATCCTGGTACCCAACAGATGTCAGCTTAGTGTACAGTTTAAGACATTTGCAAGGAGGAAGGTAAGAATCTTTTACTGCAGAGGAGACATTTACCCTGATTTACTAAAGAAGTAGAGGATGTTCACTTTCCAAAGTGAATTCTCATTTTCAAAGACATTTTTACTTAGGTTAATGAATGAGGTGAAGCTGTTCTGGCTTCCATCATCCAACCATGTCAAGTAATAGACCCCTTTTTTAATTTGTCATGTGTGATTGAATATTTTTTATAAAAAATTATTTTCATCATAATTGCTAAGCTAAGTGAACATTCCCTTGCAAAGTTAAAATTCAAGATACAAACAAGTTCTACTCCTTTAGTAAAAAGGAGTCATAGTATGTCTTTTCTGCAAGTGTATGTCCTGTCAAAACCTTATTTCTTAGTTTTTACAGATTTTTGGGGTTCCTTTAGAGAGATCTACCCTGATAAAGATCAATTGAATATAAAGTTATAGAACACTTTTATTAAAATTGAATGTTCATATTTATCTACTTCCGGCCCTAGCCTATAGTCAAATGATGGTGCAGTGGGAGTTTTCCAATTTTGGATGGACATGAAATGACAGGCATGTGCTTCCTGCGCACTCTAGAGGCTGCACTGCAGCTCAATCTGCCATCCACTACATCCACCAGATACAGCAGATTACAGCTCATTGTACCAGGTTAGCCCTGGTATCATGTGATTGCTGTGACCAATCACAGTGATCATATGTGAAATGTACACAATGGGGGAGATTTCTCAAAATTGGTGCACAAAGAATCTGGTGCAGCTGTGCATACTAACCAATCAGCATCTAGATTTTTTTGTCAAAGTTTAATTGAACAAGCTTAAGTTAGATGTTGATTGGTTACCATGCACAGAGATTCTATGTGCACCAGCTTTAGAAAATCTCCCCCAATGTATGGATTTCATGGCAATCACAGATAAATAAAAATCCTGATCACTTTTTCAGAGTAGTACAGTGTCCCTATTGCACTGCTCTGGTCATAGTATGAAAATAAAAAGAAAAAATGGTACTGCTCTGGTGACAGTTTGTAAAACGATTTTAATCTGAAGGTTGTTGATATTGATATATTATACAAACATCACACAATCGAGCTAGTGATGGCTTCTAGTTCATGTTCATATCAACAGGCTATCTTGAAATGGCAACGCTGGACACAATGGTATGCAAATAAATTAAATAGTAAACTGTTATGAGACCACTGACACAAGTATATTCAAAACTTCCTTTTAACTGAAACAATGTTGTTTTTTTTTATGATTTTATATATTTTCATTTGTTTACCATCCATGGTGTTAATCCCTGATGCTTATGCCAAATATATGTTATACTGTTATTGTCTTTAAAGGTATATATGCACTACTTGCACATTACAATGGATGTGACAATTCTGTCAAATGTATTTATTCTGTAAACTTGTTACCTTGTTAAAAGTGCTGACCAGGCATTTTATAGCCTCAGGAAATAAGGCAGATAGTACATCAGGACTGATCAATTTTCATATATCTATCTATGGTATATCTATACAGTATATACATTACTTAGCATAAATGAATACACTCCATTTTAACCAATATCTCAATGAACACATGAACAATTTCCAAAATTTTGACAAGTCTGAGTTTTATAGAACATTTGTTTTAGCTCATTACAAGAAAGTAAGGGTAATAATATAACTTAGATTACAAATTCTTCAGTTTTACTCAGATTAGTTGATGCAAAAATGAATTCACCCCACAACAAAAACTACTACATCTAGTATTTTGTATGACCACCATGATTTGTAAGGACAGCACCAAGTCTCCTAGGCATGGAATGAACAAGTTGGCAACATATTATAACATGTAAACTTTCTACATTCTTCGAAAACTACCTCTTTTAGAGCCTGGATGCTGGATGGAGGGTGATGCTCAACTTGTCTCTTCAGAATCACCCATAGGTATTCGAATCACTTTCACCCTGTTCTTCTTCAAAAATGCAGCAGTGGCCTTAGATGTGTTTTTTAGATCATTGTTATGTTGGAAAAGTCCATGATGACCAAAGGCATGGAGTGATGGAACCATTTTCTCTTTAACCACTAGCCTACAGGGCACTTATACCCCCTTCCTGCCCAGGCCAATTTCCAGCTTTCAGCACTGACACATTTTGAATGACAATTGCGCGGTCATGCAATACTGTACCCATATGAAATTTTTATAATTTTTTTGAGACAGATAGAGCTTTCTTTTGGTGGTATTTAATCACCTTTGGGATTTTTATTTTTCCTTAAACAAACCAAAAACCACTGAAAATTTTGAAAAAATAAAACGTTTTTTCTTAGTTTTTGTTATACAATTTTATAAATAAGTGATTTTTCTCCTTCACTGATGTGCGCTAATGAGGCTGCAGTGATGGGCACTGATAGGTTGCACTGATGGACACTGATAGGTGGCACTGATGGGCACTGATGAGGAGGCACTGGTAGGTTGCACTGATGGGCATTGACAGGCATCACTGATGGGCACTGAAAGGCAGCACTGATACATGACACTGATACATGACACTGATATATGGCACTGATAGGCAGCACTGACTGGCACTGATAGGTGGCACTGACGGGCACTGATAGGTGGCACTGATTGGCAGCACTTATAGGCGGCACTGATTGGCATTGGTAGGTGGCACTGACTGGCACAGATGGGTGACATTGAATGGCAGCTCAGATGGGCACTGATATGTAGCATTGATGTGGCACTGATGGGCACTGGCACGTGGCACTGATGGGCACTGGCACGTGGCACTGATGATCACTGACAGGTGGCACTTCTGGGGCCACACTGATCATCAGGGAACACTGATCATCAGTGCCCTGATGATCAGTGTACATGTCCCCTCCGCGGAAAGCCAATTACCGGCTCTCCTCTCGAGCTGTCAGCATGACAGCTCGAGAGGAGAGAAATGCCGATAACCGGCATTTCCCGTGTTTACATGTGATCAGCTGTGATTGGACACAGCTGATCACATGACCGAGCCGACATCTTCGGCTCTTTCCGTTTTCTGCTGTGTCTGAGGGACACAGCGTACCGGCGATCGCCGCACTGCGCGCTCCCTGAGCTACGCATGTGCAGTGAGAATGGTAGGACTTCATATGACGCCCTATCAGAACAAGAGAACCAGCTTGCGTCCGTCATTGTATTATAGGGCGGGCGGAAGGTGGTTAAATAAAGAGCAGAACATCTGTGAATTCATGATACCATCAATGAAATGATGCTCCCTGACACCAGCAGCACTCATGCAGCCCCACAGAAGGACACTGCCATCAACATGTTTCACTGTAGCCACCATGTATTTTTCTTTGTACTCCTCACCTTTGCAACCCCATACAGTTTTGAAGCCATCAGTTCCAAAAACATTTATCTTGGTCTCATCATTCCAGAGTACAAGTCTCAGCAGTCTTCTTCTTTTTTAGCATGAACCCTGGCAAATTCTAGGTGGGTTTATTTGTGCATGGGCTTTAGGAGAGGCTTCCTTTGTGGATGACATCAATGCCATTCCTCTGCAGTGTATGCCATATTTTGTCACGGAAACAATCAACCCAGTTTGGCTTTCTACTTCTTTAGCTAACTGCAGTGAAATTGCAAGGCGATTTTCTTCAACTCTTCTCATTAGAAGACTCTCCTGTTGAGGTATTAACTTCCATGGACGACCTAGACATCTCGGTGAGATTGTTGCAGTTCCATCTTTGTTACATTTTTGTATCACTTTCGCTACAATATTCTGACTGATAAGAAAAGCTTTGCATATATGAAAGAAGATGCAAGGGGCAGCAGACCAGAATTGACGTCTGCGGAAGGATGTGATGAAATAAGGTGGCAGCAATGAATTTCGAAGCTCCTGTTTCTTCCTCAGACCTGATTGGCCAACACAAGTTGCTGTATTATACCCGGCTAGGAGGTGGCAAACAGTTCTGCCTCTGAGCTCGGTATAAGATGGTCACTTATGTTGGCCAATCAGGTCTGAGGAAGAAGTGGAAGCTTCCAAACACCTTACCGCCCCCTTACATCATCATGTCCTCCCGCTGATGTCACTTCCGGTCTGGTGCCATCTGATCTTCTAATTGGTTACTGAGGTGGATGGTTGCTTCTGGACACTCCAGCTTCTGTGCCCTACCATGCTGAGACTACACCACTATCTGGGACCAGACAGGTGAAAGTCGTAGGATTCATTGATAAACCTGTGAACTCCAATTTCTTGTGAGTTGCAAATCATTGTGTCTAATAAATTTTCTGTTTTTTACTACTGCACTTAGCCTGGTGCCCCTTGTATCTTCTTTCATATACCCACAGAGTTTTCAGCCTCACTCCCAAGGATGCTGCCATGGATGTTTCAACTCTATTGTACAGCGCTGAGCAAACCCTTTGGTGCTATATAAATACTGTATAATAATAATAATATAATTATCAGTAACTCTGCTTGGTTTGGTCTTCCAGACCACTTGCTATTCAGGCTCTCTCTCTCTGTGAGTAGGTGACAGAAACTTGCTGTTTAGGCCCACAAGGCCCCTTGACAGGGTTTTGACAGTATCTTCAACTTGCATCCACCCAGAGACTTCCAGATTATCTCCAACCCTCCTGAACTCACTGGCCTCCACAGCTTCCTCAGTCTCCCAGACCCTCTCTTGGTCTCCCAGACTCTCGGCGCTGGCCAGACTTTCCCAGTCCTTGGGCCAAGAATACCCCTCACACAAGCTGTAGTCTCCAACAGGGACTCACAGCTGGCCTGACAGGGCTCTGTCTTCAAGCAACTTCCACTCACACCACCTACTGCTCTCACAAGCCCATATCAGGTCTGTGTGCACTTGGGCACACACCCTGCTGGTTATGCATAACACTCGGACACAGGATTGGAGATTTCGTCCCACCCAAGACTCTTATGAATCTCCAAACTACAGAGCCCCATCCAGCAATACCACGATCTGAAGGAAGCTGCAAAGCAGTTTTCTCCACTCCAAGTCTATGCTCTGTAGCATTGCAGTAAGCAGACATGCGACTTCTGTCTTTTCCCTGGTCATTTTCATAGTGACTACATAGTGACTTGTACGCAAACGGGATTAGGGAGATGGGTCTTAAGCTATTCAAACAGATGGGGTCCAGGCAGGCCTTTCCTTGCGCAAAGTACGCATTACGACGCTAAGTACATGGCACTTTAAACACGGCACTTTGACTAAGGCAAGTACAAACATTAGTGCTCCACCTCAAGTAGATTGCATGTGCTCTTCCCTCTCTTACCTCTTTCCGTCTGCCTTCCTTTGTTATTTCTCCTCTCTCCAGCATGCTCTTGCTAACTTTCTTTGTTGCTATAATGCCCTTTCTTCTCAAACTCTCTCTTGTTTATCCCTCCTCTCCACCACACAACCTGTACATATCACCCTCACTTCTGCCCTCTCCATATCACTGCACTTATCTCCTGCTCTCTCTTCGTCCACATAATGTCACCGCTACAAAAGCACTGCGGCATTTGCCCTCATATAAATCTCGCTCCCACCTCACCTCCCTCACCCTCCTATTACTACTAACTTTTGGAGACATTGCCCCAAACCCTGGCCCTCCACCACCAAACTCCAACCCACAGAAGCAGCAGCCTCCCTCTCTGGCCGCAGTCGCAACCCTCACTCTCTCATCTCAATTTCCCTGCTTCCACGCACCAACTCCTCCCTCTTATGTGCCCTCTGGAATGCCCGCTCAGCCTCTAACAAACTCTCTACAATCAATGACCTCTTCCTCTCCCACTCCCTCAACCTTCTTGCTATTACTGAAACCTGGCTCCAGGATTCCAACTCTGTCTCCTCAGCTGCACTCTCCCAGGGGATGGCGGCCTCGATAAAAGAACAAAAAAAAAAAAAAAAAAAAATAAAACAAATAATAAAAAAATAAGAGTAAAGACACTAAAAATAAATAAAAAAAAAAAAATATTAAACAAAAAACCACAATAAATCATATAAAAAAAAAAAAAAAAAAAATAAAAAAAAAAGAAAAAAAAAAATATAGCCAGAAAAAAAAAAAGCAATACAAAAAAAAAAAAAACAAAAACAAAACAAATCAAAGAACTCTGGACTCACTCGCCCAGACCCAGTGGATGAAAAGGGGGCGGGGCTAGACTTCTTCTTTCCCCACAAAGCACATTCCAGGTTCTTCCTGTCTCTCCGTCTCTGTCCCTCAGCTCTTTTGAAGTGCACTGTATTTGTCTCTTTTCTCCTGTTTGTCTGGGCCCCGGGCCCAGTTTCACACTTTCTTGATGACTTTTCAGCATGGCTACCGTACTTTCTTTCCTCTGAAGTGCCTGCCATCATTCTCGTTGACTTTAACATCCCTATCAATGTTCCCACCCCTGCCACCACTCAACTAATCAACCTAACTTCCTCTTTTAACCTAACACAATGGTCACAATCCACCAGCCACTCCAATGGCAACACCCTTGACCTTGTATTCACCCACCTATGCACTCCCTGTAACCTCTCTAACACCCCTTTTCCTCTCTCTGATCACAACTTTATCAGCTTCACACTCTCCCCACCTCCTACCTCCCATGCCTCCAACCAGCAAACAGCTACCTGTAGAAACCTCCATCGCCTCAGTCCTGACCTTCTTCACTCCGCTACTGAGTGCCTCTTTGATGAAATTGCACCCCTTTCCTGCCCAGAGCTGGCCACATCTGCCTACATAAACAATCTATCATCCTCCCTGGATGCTCTTGCTCCTCTTCTACACGCAGAACCAGGCCTCACCTGTCACAACCCTGGCAAACAGATGACACCAGAAGTCTCAAGAGACGCAGCTGCACTCTTGAGCGAGCATGGCGTAAAACTAAATCCCTGAAAGACTTTACCCTCTACAAATCTGCTCTTCTCAAATACAACTCCAGCCTCCATGCTGCTAAGCAAACCTAACACTCTCATCAAGACCCTCTCATGCAATCCTCGTCATCTCTTCTCTACCCTTAATTCCTTACTCCACCCCCCACTGCCTCCACCCACCAACTTACTTACTGCACAGGAGATTGCTAGTCACTTCAAGAAGAAGATCGACACAATTCGTGATGAGATCTCCAGTGTCAAGCTTCCTCCTCTAACCAACATACCAGGCCCAACACCAAACTCAGCACTCTCCTCCTTCGACCCTGTTACCATGAGGAAATTACTGAACTCCTTTCCAAGGCCCACTTCAACACCTGTCCCCTGAATTCTGTTCCCTCATGACTGTTGAAGCCTCCTTCCTGCTATATCCTAAGCTCTCTAACCCACATCTTCAACCTCTCACTCTCCATGGGCACCTTTCCCTCCCCACTCAAACATGCACTGGTTACCCGTATTCTCAAAAAACCCTCACTGGACCTCACCTGTTTGAATAGCTTAAGACCCATCTCCCTAATCCCGTTTGCCTACAAGCTTCTTGAGCGCCTTGTTCACAACCGTATGAACTGCTACCTCACCGACAACAACCTTCTTGATCCCCGACAGTCTGGCTTCTGGCCACATCATTCCACAGAAACTGCCCTACCAAAACTCACTAATGACCTACTAACTGCTAAAACCAATGGCCTTTACTCCATACTCATACTCCTTGACCTTTCCGCTGCCTTTGACACAGTCAACCACCCGCTCCTCCTCAGTAAACTCCACTCCATCGGCCTCCGTGACTCTGCTCTCTCCCTTTCTCAGCGCACTTTCTGTGTCACATGCAACTCCTCCTCCCCTCCTCTTCCTCTTTCTGTTTGGGTTCCCCAAGGTTCTGTCCTTTGAACCCTCCTTTTCTCTCTCTATACCTCCTCCCTGGGCCAACTGATAACCTCTCATGGCTTCCAATACCACCTCTATGCTGATGACACCCAGATCTATCTCTCTACTCCCAAGCTCACCCCCTCAATCTCCTCACGTATCACAAATCTACTAAGCGACATATCAGCATGTATGTCACATCACTACCTTAAACTCAATCTTTCCAAATCTGAGCTTGTAATATTTCCTCCT